ACAGAAACGCAGGTGAAGATAATAATATGGACCTTGGCACACACAGAAACAACAACAACGACAACGACAACCTCACCACCAACAACAACAACGACAACGACAACGCCACCACCACCACCAACAACAACAACAACACCACCAACAACAACAACAACAACCACATCAACATCAAACATACCTTGGCGGCTCCGGAGTAATCACGGGACATTGCTTCTTTTTCTGTGACGAACGTTTCCGATCGCTTCCCAGGATTTTCACAAAGACGTTCTTCATATTCCGCGCACAAACTACAGTGAGGAAAAAACCCGTCTCTCCTCGTCTCTATCACAAGAATTGTTCGCAGCTCATACCCACAGTCACGCTCACAAAACTCGCCATAGTTTTTTCAACGTCACAGAAAGTTCAAGAATAATTTATCACGGGACGGGTCAATAATCACAGATTATATGATGGTCAGTTATTGCTTATTTATCACAGCTGATGAAGAGTTATCACAGCTGATGAAGAGTTATCACAGCTGAGGGAGATTTATCACAGCTGAAAGCTAAATAAAGTCTGTCCACTAGATCTACACTTTGTTCAGCGGGCGACAGCGTGAGAATACAAACGAAAGTTTGATACACAGTCCCGTCGTTTGCTGATATGCGGAGCACACACACACACACGCACAAAATTCAGTTTTTGTAGGCTATCTTAATAACCAATATGGTCACTGATAAAAAGACAAAGTTACACATGAATACCGTGAAAGTGAAACCAAAACTGTACGAAATAGTTCATCATAAGCCCTAGTGAGAGAGAGAGACACACACAGAGAGAGAGAGAGAGAGAGAGAGAGAGAGAGAGAGAGGATGGGGAAAAAAAGGATTGGGACATCCAGCTTCAATGACACAAATACATGACCCAGTGAGTCACGAGAGTGCTGTGAGTTACCATTAACGGGGAGTGAGCAATGAGCAAGACAACTAATACATTTTCGTCTAGCAGCCAGCTAATAGCCGACTCCAGTGGGCATTAATTTTAGCAAGGCACCCCAGCGTTAGTTCCGGTATCCGCGGCCTATAGGGACCCTCAAGGGCGGGTGGTCAATTAGCCTATGTCTCCTTGTACGCAACGCAACGTTTAGTCGCGGGCGACAGTCGCTAGTGATGAGTCGCGAGATGTGTATCCTTATCCGCAACCACACTGCGCCAAAATGTTCTGTCGCGAGCGGCAAAAGCGACAAAACTAAAACCGTCTCCTTATGCGCGAAGAGAGACAGTGGTGAATTTTAAAGTCAAGATGGACAAGGAAGTACTAAGTCCGTCAGTTGGGAACTATGTGAACCGTTAACATTGATTTTTTAAAAATTCCGTACATGGCCAATACCGTGCAAGTTCTTCTCCTCCTCCAGTCATTCTCCTCCTCCTTCTCCTCCTCCTCTTCAGCCTCCTCCTCCTTCTCCTCCTGCTGTCCGCAAAATAAAAAACCACAAAAAAAAACACCAATACAATTATATTCACAAAACTTGCATTGGGGGGAACTGAAGATGAACCCCCC